GATCAGAAAACTTGGTGACGTCAAACTGTTTGTGTCTCATCTTTTTGCAATCACCAAATCATATAGACATATTGGCACAAACCAGTACGTGGCTGGAGTCCAAGCAGATATACCAATACCAAAGGCAGTCTTCCACACACCCTCTCCATCTACAGCTAATAGCTATATGATCAGTCAGGGCTCCTCAAATCGGTACCAACCGAAACGGATAGTGATTGATACCCTAACCTCTTTTGAATTTGTGTGGTGTGTGTAGACAAAAAAATCTTTAATATAGTTGAAAAATAACAATAATAATTGAAATTACCCGTTGAATATGTTTCACAAATGAGAGTGAATCTTCAAACTGAATTCGACAAGTGGAACACGTTTGCCTTCGGTGCATCGAGTGCTCCGCGTACGGTGAATAATTATTGCTCACAATTGGACGATATTCTGCTCCTAATGAGATTGAATGTAACCTCAACGGGGCCAGTTCTTCCATTTGTTGAATAGTCACTCGTTCACTGGGTTGTCCATACAATGTGCTGTTTTTTGTGTTTGAGTTGGCGGCTTGATCCGATTCCAACTCAACCACATCCTCATCTGCGGTTGAAATTGGGTCAGATGACTCAAAAATATATCGACGTCGAGGCTGTCGATTGCGCAGACTCATTCTTCGGGCTGGATAACTACATGATGGTAATAAGCGGGTAGATTTTCGTCTTGGCTGACGATTCACTCCAGATCGGGAGACTAGGCGAGGTTTCCGCGTACCAATCACACGGGGTTGGCGTATTGGTATGTCTGGTTTGCAGTTCAGCTCATCCGGATTTATGTAACTCGCGGTTGTCACATTTTGGTCTAAACACAGTCCATCGGATATCGGATTTGTCCCGTACAGACTTTGTGATGGAATCATTTGGTTTCCGGGCCCATTTCTTGTGCTCAAATCAATGGCTTCATTGTGAATTCCAGTTATATCGGCCGAACAGTAGGCGGGAAAGAATGATTCCTGACTAAGCAACTGTGAAAACAGAATGGGGAGAGGAAGAAAGCTTTTGTCCAATAGCAGACCGCTTCCTGAAAATTGCCCTGATCATGACATGTTTAATGAAAATGGAATAAAAGAATTATTATTAACACTGATGGAATCATACTAGGCTAATAGCTGCTTGAACTGCATAGACCCTGTAAGAACATATTTATGGAGCCACTGGACCAGGTTAACTAAATAGAAGCACTCTATGATTCCTTTTTTCCCTTAGGTTGCTAAAACTGATCTGTGAATAGCAGGCGGAAAACGAAACAGAATTAAACGACCTCAAAGAAAATAAATACTTGACTCTCTGTATAGTTACATCCAATTAGCCTGAAATTCCGAACAGGTTTGGGGTTCGCCTGATCAAACACCTGTTCCATTGAAACAGACATTTATTTGATAAGCAACAATTGTTTACTCCGTATTCCTGTCAAGGGCACAGATTGAGCAAAAGCTAAGAGATAAAATTTATACATCAGAGCCTTTATCAATTAACAATATATGTGCCGGTCCAAAAGATCCGGAACTCGGTGCAAAAATGCATGTGCTGAAAGTGAAATAAGAAGATATTGTTTGGTTTTCTTTGTCCCAAGTCTCCCGTCACATGGGATGGATGATCGCTAAATTTCACAGTGCACTTACCACCACTCCTAATCGTTTTTGAACATTGTTGTTGTTGTTATCACTGTTAGTTCGATATGTACAGGTACTATTTCCCCACTTGACATGCTTGTTTTGCTTTCTTCTTATCAGGTAAAAGCTTATCATTTGAGTTTTATGCTGGGGTAATAAATTGCATGAAAGGAAAATATGTATTTCAGGTGTATTCTTGTTATACGCCATCCCGTTAATCATGAATTCACAATGCGATAAAGTATTTCCTTCTCATTCCCACTTTCGAGCACACACTCAATACATATCATTTAGGGGGAGAGTTTGATCTTCGCAGTCGAGAAAAATTATTGTTTGATTGTAGAAACCGGTACAGGAGTTGGAATGGATTTTGACTATGTACGATAGATGTGGTATTGAGGTAGAACACGAAGCAACCCGTGAGCAACGTGGTATAGCATTGCAAAACGGTGTGGAAGCATTTTGGGGAATGCGTTTCGCACGACACAAAGAGATAACGTGCAGATTTTTTTGACACATCGCTGTTCCTAATAGCCAGAAGCCGCAACTAAGGCCCATGTATTAATGACATATATTTCCATGTCAGTTCACGCTGGTTGGTGTGTTCTCTCACTCGGAATTAGTTTGGAGTTGACTGTGAGCCGATCAAGCGGATCGAATTTGACTGCCGTGTGACGAACTGCATCCATCCGAACAAGCGATGACGCATCGTTCTGTCTTATCGATTCACAACAAACATCGCATGACATTTGGCTGGAAATTTTGAACGCTGAATCACTGCACGTTCAAACGAACGTGTGCGTTTGACAGCATCCGATTTTTGCAGTCACAGCTAAAGTCAAACTGAAATTTTCCGGAGCATCTCATCTGAATGTTAGTATTGAAGAATCCGTCAAAACGGTGAATCAAATCCATGCAATGTATAACCAGAATGAGACCATTCACACAAACACACCGTATGATGACAAACAGTTGATATTTTCAAGCTGACAGGTCATTTAATCCGCGCTAAGATGACCTACATGTTCACTTCAGTTTGAACAACCATTAAGCATGCTCTTCTGTGCGTCGTTTTTGGTTGCTATCATCTGGCTGGATGAAGAAAACAGGAAGGTTGAAAGTAGGATCGAAGAGAAAATTGAAAAGTTCAGTGGAATAACGACGCAAGGAAATTTAGAAGATGCACGAACGCCACTGTTTTCAACACCCAGCCATATCACTGGGTTTCTCTAACCATCGGGTGCGATCATCCCGAGGTCCCCATCCAGGGAGCCTGACAGGACCTATATGACCCAGACTCCTGCTCAGGGTTTTCATATCCTCGTGCATGCAGATCATTGACCCGTTTGGTTCTCGTCGATTCCTGGCCTTTTGAGGAGGCGTTTATCCGATATTTCCTCCATAGCACTTTAGGCATACAGTAAAGTGACCTTCTTCTAGAAGAGATCCTCCAGCTCAATAAGGCTTTCATTATGGCTGCACTGACGCCCTTATTTGAACTGGATCATACGAATTGCCGGTGCATGCATCTGGATTTCGTCGAACGTCTTCCTGTTTGATCAAATATTTGTTTTTTTGGAGGGGAGGGGGGGAGGTTGGTTTTCACAATAGTCATTTACTCATACATAGCATGCGTTCCATTTACGGATCATTCCCGTTTCGCTGATTTCTACTTTCAAGATGGTAATATTCGCCCCCTATATAGATAGAAAAATACCTTCCCGCGTGTA